AGTAGAAAGAAGTAGTAGTAACTAACTACGTACGTGTCGTCGACCACTAATAGTATATATATATATATAATATATATATATATATATATATATATACACAGATTTCATCATGTCATATTTTAATTAATATTTAATTCTCATTTTTTTTTCGTTTCGGAAGTAGTGCTTAGCTTCATTCATCGAGAAATATCAAAATAACTTTAAGTTACAGATTTCCGGAATGCCCCCCCCCCCTCTGTTAACCATCCTAGGCTCAGTACTAAAAGATTCTGGGCTGGCTCGTGTGGCAGGTGTTAAAAATATAACGTGTAAATGTTGTTGCCTTTTGAAACACTACGAAACAAACTATGTTTACTTACTTCTGAAATACATGATGAAATGGTCATCAGTGGCACGAGACAGGTCTTCAATCACGTTTCTCTGAATACTCTCCAGTCTATTATTTGACAACTCCAGCATCATGACATTGGGAGTGCCCCTGAAAACGTGAGCGGGGAGCATCCTCAAGCGATTTCGGTTGAGGTGAAGACTGGTCAAGGAAAAAAGGCCGTGGAAAGCGTTGGGTGCGATTTCCGAGATTCTGTTTTCCTTCAGATCAAGTTCGTGCAACCTGGGTGCTCCACTGAAGACGTAGTTATCCAGTTTTATCAGGCGGTTTTTATACAGGTCTAAACGGCGAAGACTTTTCAGACCGTTAAAGGTGTAAGGAGTAATGTGTTGGATCTTGTTATTCCATAGTTCTAGCTCCATCAGGTTGGACAGATGGAGGAAAAAGTTATCGTCGATCCAGGATATGTTATTTCTATCTAACACTAAGAATGTTAATCGGGGCAAATCGAAGAGCGCTTCTGCCCTCAATGCTTCAATGAGATTATCACTGATGACGAGGCTAGTTAGCCTCGGCAAATGCGAAACGGCGTGTTTGCGAAGGTTTCGAATTTCGTCGTTCTCTAAAGCGATTCGACTGAGGTGTTCCAAATGGACGAAAGAATTGGTAGGCAGTTCCGATATGGAACACTGCTTAATGTTCAGCTCTTGGAGTCGCGGTGTTCTGAGAAAAGCTTCTGTTGGCACAAACTCCAGGGAACTGGAAGCAGGCTGGGATGTAATTGTCAGACTAGTTAACTCACTCTGACGAGCGAAACCTTTCCAAACTTCATCGTCTGGTTTTAGAGGATTGATAACAAAACAAGAAATCCGGCGCGCTTCGTCTACTCCATCTAGATCACAACTACAGTACATGGACTGATTCGCTGTTAACGTATTGCACAGTACCACGTGTGACGTCACACCTTGACTCCAAAGAACTAACGATATCACCCCGGATACTAATCCAAGATAATTCGGCATCATCACGTAACTCGGAGCTCCAAATCAGTAGATATTTCTGGGAGGTAAAAAAAAACATTGTTTTCATATCACTTGATAGTACTATTTTCCTTCAATTTATTATCGTAGTTCGTGATTGGTTTTAATGATATAACATTAAAAAAAAAGCACCTGAAAACAAAAAATGGTTAAATAGAACCAAGTGTACGGCTTAACTAAAGCATACAAGTCACTAAGTCAGTGAAATATATAAGAATAAATCGGGCCACATAAAGTTGAAAATTATCTTTAAGTATCAGATTACTTTTTAATAGATTAGGATTTGGGTTGGCTATAACAGCCACCTGGCTGATTGTCAGGGCATTAAACATGCGGGAAACATTCGGTAAAACGTAAATAACAATATTCATAGAAATATTCCACTGGAGAATAAAAATATTAATACGTGAGCATTTAATTGCCTGCCTAAAACTTTACTGTGATATTAATTTGTATTTAATATTATTTACTAAATCATTCGCCACTCTGTGATAAAAGTTGTCTTTTCTGGTGTTTGTTTTGGGACAACATGGGACCTATTGGTCCATCTAGGCTGTTCCATCCTCTAAATTAAATTAAAATAATAACAAAAAATCTTAAAGCCAGCCCTTATCATTCATATATTTATCAACCTTTTTCTT